ATATTTCTGTGTACAAATGAACAGTGCGCATTTGAACGGTGTCTAAATGAACGGTGCGCATTTTCTTGCGTGTCCAAATGCACTGTGTCTAATTGAACCGTGTCTAAAATTCTGTGTCTATTTGCAACGTGTCTAATTGCAACGTGTCCAATTGAACGGTGTCTAAGTGAATGCCACTCGGTCTCGACCTTCTTTACCGGCGGGAGAGGCACTTGGCCCTTCCAGCAGCCGGAGTTGGACCACCCGGTTGAGTGGTCCAACGAACTGGGGATCACAGAAGAGGAGTTCCGCCGGGCCGTCTGTCGGATGACGCGGAAGAATACCGCCCCCGGTCCCGACGGCGTGTCCGGCAAAGTATTGGGCTTTGCCTTCGGACAGGGTCCCTTGGGAGAGCGTCTCAGGCAGATCCTGACAGACTGCCTGAGGACCAGCTGGTTCCCCCCAGATTGGAAGCAAGCCAACCTGGTTTTGCTCCACAAAGGAGGAAGGCCTGCGGACTCGCCATCCGCGTACCGGCCCATTTGTTTACTCGACGAGGCGGGCAAGCTCCTGGAGCGCATTGTTGCCAACCGCTTCGTCGAGCACCTGTCACGGGAGGGTCCCGACTGGCCGACTGTCAGTACGGATTCCGCGGGGGACGCTCAACGGTGGACGCCGTGTTCCACCTTAAGTCCCTCACGGAGGCGTCGACCAGGCAGGGGTGGAGGGCGTTGGCAGTGTCTCTCGATATCTTCAACGCCTTCAATTCCCTCCCCTGGGACAGTATAGGGTGGGCTCTGGAACATCATAGAGTCTCACCCTATCTGAGTAGGCTCCTCGGAGACTACTTCCGTGGCAGGGAGATTACGTATACCGGCCGGTACAGATCACTTCAGCGAAGGAGGATGTACCGCGGGGTTCCACAGGGGTCAGTTCCCGGCCCGCTGCTGTGGAACCTCGGGTACAATGCGGTGATCCAGGCCGCGCTCCCCAGAGGACTATCAGTCATCTGCTACGCAGATGACATTTTGATATTTGCCTCTGGGGACGAATGGAGCAAAACCAGGTTGCTTGCAGAGGTTGAGACGAATTGCGTCGTTGACCGCATCGAGAGACTGGGCCTTAAAGTGGCCATCCACAAAACGGAAGCCATGTGGTTTTTCAACCACTTCCGTGGACGGCCCCCAGCGATCAGTCTCTCCGTAGGTGAGGGACGGGTCGAGGTAGGTACGANTATTAAGTACCTTGGTCTTTACCTTGACCCGAAGTGGCGCTTCGACGAGCACTTTGCTCGCCTGGCCCTCCGGGTTCGGAAGGTCGCCAACGCCCTGGCGCGTATTCAACCGAACCTTGGGGGACCGAAGCATAAAGCTCGCCGTCTTTACGCCAACGTGGTCCACTCGGTGGCCCTATATGGGGCACTGTTGTGGGCGGAAGCCGCTTTGAGGGCAGGAGCGCGGAGTAAGTTTGCANTGCTCCGCGCTTCCCAACGAGTAGCAACCCTTCGCGTGATATGCGGCTTCCGTACGGTGGCGAGAGAGACGGCGGGCGTACTGGCGGGGATGTTTCCCCTTGCCCTCCTTGCTGGCGTGTACTCGGCGAGATATTCTCGCCGAGTCGAACTCCAGCGGGAAAGACTTACAGAGGATGCTCTGCAGCAGACCCTCGCCAGGTTGGAGCGCTAAGCCCGGCGACAACTGCTTCTTAGTTGGGAGCAGCTCCTGAGCGAGCCAGACGTGGA